CCGGCCGTGTGTGTGTGTGTGTGTGTGTGTGTGTGTGTGTGTGTGTCTAAGATCCCAAGAAGAGAATGAAGGAGAAGGGATTGGGGTGTGGCCATCCCCTTTGGGGGGTGATTTCTCACTTTCTGTTTCTCTCTTTCTGGTGAGTGTACATGTCCTATAGCAAAAACTTCTCTAAATAAATAAATAAATAAATCCAGTCTGTAGTCTAGTGGACAGGGGTGCTGGATCCCCACAAGGCTTGCCCCAAATCCAGACAGGATGGAGAAATGGAAAAGGGATGGTGGTATGACAATGTCCTGTTGCAGAGTGCTTTCACTTTCTTCTCTGTCTGGTGAGCACATGTGTCTTCTAGCAATTAAAAAAATTTAATTAAAAAAAAAAAAATACAGGGTCAGCCAGGGGGATGGTGGTTAAGTCACTGAACTCCCACATGGCCAACTGCGTTTCAAGTCCTGGACCTGGCAACTTTAGAATCATACTCGGCACATGTGCTTGCATGCCCCAAATCCCAGGGTAAGAATGTAGGAGAACAGACTGCAGTGTGGCCATCCCCCCACTGGGGGAAGGGGTGATTTCTTACTTTTCCTCTCACTGTCCCTGTCTCTTTCTGCAGCAAAGCGTACAAACCTGATGGCAAAAACCTAAAATAATTTTTTAAATAAATAAATAAAATGTGGAAACACCATGTATCTCAAAGTTGGAAAACTAAGTAGATCATATATAGACTTAACATATAGTAAATGTTCTATAAGTATAGTACTAGTAATTATTCTGTGAATTATGAACCCCCATGTACAAGTTGAAAAGGGTCGGGATACAAGAAGTACAATAGAAAGGGAAAAGGGAACAAGCTGAGACTAGTTTACTGAAACACAAGGAACTAAAGTTATGAGATTTTTCAGGAGCCAAAAGATAGTCCACTGATTTCATATTATACTGTGGAACCATGAGAAAAGATACTTTTATGTTAAGATAGCATCTTTTTTGAGAAGGTAAAGGGATATGAGAGCTACAGCCAAATAATGCTTGCAAGACATCCAGAGCCTTTTTAGAAGACTATGCACTACCACTACAACAAGTCTGCAATTGTTACGGGGAAGAGGAGCTGGCTGCTAGTTACTGCAAGGAGCTCATGCTTCTTCAGCACAGACACGCATCAGATCTACCTCTCTTACGGTTGACCCCACAGCACAGAAAGTTGAAACCTAATGAGGAAAAACAGAAAATTATACTTACTTTTGGTGTTCTACTTGCTTACAACAGAATAAGCATATTTTTAAAAAACTCTCAAGTTTAACATTATGAACAGAACCAGGCCCAATCCCCGGCACCATATTGTGAAAGCTGAGAAGACTTTTTCCAATTCTAAGTAACTGACCAAAAAAAAAAAAAAGGTAGAAGGAAATGCTCTGGCAAAAAAATTCCAAAAGTGGTCACAAAATTTGTATACCAAATCATCACTCTGGAGTGAATTCAGATCGCAAAGTTTTTCAGGTGTAAGGTTCCTCTGCCTTTATGCTTCTATGTTTTTTAAAAGGAATATATTTTATTTGAGGGTCTCCACTCTTTGAGAGCAATCTGGTAAAATATGTAGGAAGAAGCTTTAAAAATTTACAGGGCTCAGCAGGTGGCATGGAAGTTGAAGTGTTAGACTCCCACACGGCAGACCATGGTTTGACTCCTGGACCTGGTGGCTTGCTTTGTCACTCTCTCTGGTGAAATTAAAAAAATAATGATAGGGGCCAGCAGGTGGCATGGTGGGTTAGGGTGCTGGATTCCCACATGGCTGACCACAGTTTGAATCTTGGATCTGGTGGCTTGCTCTCTCACTTTCCCTTTCTCTCTCTGTCTCTCGTCAAATTAAAAAAAAAACAACAACAAATGGAATTAAATGAATAAAATAATAAATAACATTTAATATATATTTTTTAAATTTAAAAAATAATAAAATGAAAATATACAAGTTAACTAAATGGTAATTTATTCCAAGGAAAAAGTTAAGTGGACAAAGAACATACAAAGATGTTCATTGCAGCACTACATGAAGAGTCTTCAAAAAGTTCATGGGAATGCATATATGAAAAAATTGCATGGTTTTCAATGTTTTAAAAAATAATTATTCATTTATTTTTTACTTATTTATTTATTTTAATTTGACTAGAGACAAAGAGCGAGAGAGAGAATGAGGGAGAAGTGAGAAAGCAAGCTGCCAGGTCTGGGACTTGAACCACTCCCATGTGGGAGTCTAGTGACTCAACAACCATGACAACTGCCAGCCCCAGTTTTCAATTTTGTGTACCAAGATAAATTTGCATTTTCATTCTATTTGTCCATGAGCTTTTTGAAATCCCTTTGTATAACAAGTAATCCCTCAGATATTTCATAACTGGCAAGAACCTGAAGAGGGGCCGGCAGGGGTTAAAGGCACTGGATTCCTACATGGCCAACCATGGTTCAAGACTCAGACCTGGTAGCTTGCTTTCTTGCTTTCCCTTTCTCTCTCTTTCTGTTTCTATCTGGTCAAATTAAAAAATGATAACAAATGGAATTAAATAAATAATAAATAATTCTTAAAAATAAAAAAAGAACCTAAGTAAATAAAAAGGTTTAGGTGATATAAATGAAGGTATAGTCACAAAATGGAATACTATATAACTATCTTTTTTTTTTTTTTTGGAGAGGTTTTCGCTATAGGGCACATGCGCTTGCCAGAAAGACAGAGAGAGACAGAGAGATAGAAAGCAAGAAATCACCCCCCAGGAGGGATGGCCACGCCGCAATCCCTTCTCCTCCATTCTCCTCTAGGGATCTTGGGCACACATGCACACATGCCCGGTGTGAGTTTAAGCCGCTGGGTCCAGGACTTGAACCGCGGTCAACTACATGGGAGTCCAGCGACAGAGCCATTACACTAACTGCTGGTCCCAATAACTGCTATTTTTATGTATTAAATGTCACAATAAATTAGCAAGTAGAAAAAAATAATTAAATTATATATATAATTTTTTGTAAAACACTTATCTATAAGTTTATTTGCATTTTTCAAAAATAATTATTTAACTTTATTTACTACTATTTATTATTTTAATTATTATTATTGTTTTTGATCAGAGATAGGCAGAGAGAGAAAGAGGAAAAATGTGAGAAATCAAGCTGTCAGATCCAGGACTTGAACCATGTTTGGCCAAGTGGGAGTCCAGCGCCTTCACCACCACACCATTTGCTGGCCCTAGTATTATTACTATTTTTTAAAATTTAACTAGATAGAGAAGAAAAGCGAGAAAGCAAGCCACCATGTCCAGGACTTGAACTGCAGTCAGCCATGTAGAAGTCCACAGCTTTTAACCACCACGTCAGCTACCAGTCCTGTATCTATTTATACATATAGAAAAAGTCCAAAAGACTGTATACCAAAATATTAAAATATGACCATCTCTGATTAGTGGTATTTGATTTTTCTTTTTTAAAAGAATTATTTATTTAATTATTTATTCAGTCATTTATTTTAATTTGACCATAGAGAGGCACACAGAGAGAGAGAGAGATGGAAATTGAGAAAGCAAGCCACCAGGTCCAGGACTTGAACCGTGGTCAGCCATGTGGGAATGTCCAATGCCTTAACCACCATGCCACCTGTTGGTCCCGGTATTTGATTTTTCAACTTTACATTTCTATTTGTCCTTAACTATAAAAAGGAATTGCAGGCATGGTGGTTAACATGGCTGGATTCCACAGGGCTGACAGCAGTTTAAGTTCTGTCCAGGTGGCTTGAAAAACATGCCAGTAACATGTGCACGTGTAGCCACAATCCTGAAAGGACAGAGAAGAAGAGATTCAATGTGGCTGTTCCCCCAATGGGTGATTTTCACTTTCCCTATCTCATACTATATACTATAAATACGTACAATAATTGTCAATTGTAACTATGTAAGAAGTATTTTTTAATGTATTACATAATTTGACAATTAAAGAAAAGGGATATATAGGAATGGCTTGTCATCCTCTTTGTTTTATAACCTAAATTTCTCCATACACACTTTTCAACATTTCCATATATACAAACCACCAGCACTCCTCACACACACTAACTCAAGCTCATTATAATCACCTAACACTGCTACAAAGATACGCTAGAATAAAAAATGTGAAAAGAAATGGCAGGCCAGCAGGTTGTGTGGTAGTTAAGGTGCTGGACTCCCATGTGGCCAACTGTGGTTCAAGTTCTGGGAAACCATGGTGGGCGTGTGTGCATCCAAAATCTTGAAAGAAGAATGGAGAAGGGACTGGGGCATGGCTCCTCCCCAAGGGCTGATTTCTCACTTTGCCTCTCTCTATCTTTCTGTGGTGAGTGTATGCACCCTACAACAAAAGGAAAAAAAGAGGGAGGGGGGACAGCAGATAGCATAGTGTTTAAAGCACTGGAATCCTACATGGCCGAACATGGTTACTTGAAACTCACTCTGGGTGTGTGTGTACCCAAAGGAGAAAAAAGGATTGTGGTGTGGCCACCTCCCTGGAGGGTGATTTCTTGCTTTCTCTCTCTCTCTCTCTTTCTCTGTATCTCCAGCGAGCACATATGCCCTATAGCAAAAATCTCCCTAAAAGAAGAGTAAAGGACAATTTCAAGCTAAAAGCAATGATTGCCATATACTCATACCCTCTTTCTCAAATACATACTGCTCTGAAATGCCTATATATCCTCAAGCAACCTGTACTACTCCATGTAAGAGGTTCTCTCTGAAAAAGGAAATCAGAAACATAAGAGTATCAATGGTGGAGACCAGCAGATGGCATAATAGTTACATCACTAAACTCCCACATGGCTGACTGCAGTTCATGTCCCAGACCCAGTGGCTTAAGACTCATGCCAGGCACTTATGTATGTGTGCCCAAGATCCTGAGAGGAGAATGGAGGAAAAGGGACTGCAGCATGGCAATTACCCGGGAACAGGGGGCTGGGGTGAGGTTTCACTTTCTGTCTCTTTGTTTCTCCTCAGCAAATGCACATGCCCTATAGCAAAAAAACCTCTCTCTCTCAAAAAAAAAAAAAAAAAAAAAAAGACATAATGGCTCTGTCACTGGACTCCCATGTAGTTCGGGTCCCGGACCCAGTGGCTTAAACTCACGCCGGGTGTCATGTGTGTGCGTGCCCAAGATCCAAGAAGAGAATGGAGGAGAAGGGATTGCAGCATGGCCATCCCCCCATGGGGGGGTGATTTCTCAATTTCTGTCTCTCTGTCTTTCTGGTGAGCACACGCATCCTATAACAACCCCCCCCCCAAAAAAAAGAGAACATCAATGGTGTCAGGAGAAGCATGGTTACATAATGGTTACATCACTGGATTCCCATGTAGTCAACTGCGGTTCAAGTCCCAGACCCGGTTGGCTTAGAACTCAGCTGGGCACATGTGGGTGCGTGCCCAAAATCCCAAGAAGAGACTAGAGGAGGGATTCAGCATGGCATGTGCATGCATAGCCACAATCCTGAGAGATGGACAGAGAAGAGATTCAAAGGGGGGGTGATTTTTCACTTTCTGTCTGTCTCTCCTGTGAGCCCATGTACCCTATGGCAAAAATCTCTCTAAAAAAAAAAGTGAAATAAAAATAAAAACTTTGAAAAATATAAAAAGATCTAAGAGCTTCTAAATTATAAAAAATAAGCTGGGAAATCATTAATGTCACTAAAATAATTTCAAAACAGTTGAACCAGACAAGTCAAATGCCAAAGTGGAAATCAACCTAATCAATTCTTGCTGAAACACAAAATTAAATCATCACATTTTCACAGAAAATTTTTCTGAGCAACTTTGTACCAGTCTCAAAGAAGCATTCTATTTGTTTTCTTAGTCCCACACTAAATGGTATTTATGGTGAAAAATGTCCTAGAGGGAACACTTTCTTGTCACTTGACAAAACATCACTATGAATTCTCCACAAATTGGCTTGCTACTACTGAGCCACAGGAGACCAAGATTCAACCAAGATTCATTACTGCCTGGAAGAAGAAAATACAAAGGATGAGAAAAACATCAATATAATTCTGAGAAGTGTGAAAAAGGTGAACTTTAGAGGGGAGAAATTAGCTGCTCTTTTTTTTTTTTTTTTGGAGAGGTTTTTTTTGCTATAGGGCGCATGAGCTCTCCAGACAAGAGGAGAGAGGACAGAGAGACAGAAAGCGAGATATCACCCCCCAGGGGGGATT